GCAGGCATCGAGAGTTTAGGCAAAGTTCATGGATGGTGATCGAGTTTTTACTGTGATCTTGTTGGAGAATTGGGTTGAAGACACAGAGATTGCATTGTGTGAGGCAATTGAAGTAGAAGGTTGAGAAGTTGTTGTTGTTGGAGAAGTTGTTGTAGCTGGAGAAGTTGTTGTTGATGTAGCTGGAGAAGTTGTTGTTGATGTTGGAGAAGTTGATGTAGCTGGAGAAGTTGTTGTTGTTGTTGTTGGAGAAGTTGATGTAGCTGGAGAAGTTGTTGTTGTTGTTGTTGGAGAAGTTGTTGTTGTTGTTGTTGGAGAAGTTGATGTAGCTGGAGAAGTTGTTGTAGCTGGAGAAGTTGATGTAGCTGGAGAAGTTGATGTAGCTGGAGAAGTTGATGTAGCTGGAGAAGTTGTTGTTGTTGTTGTTGGAGAAGTTGATGTAGCTGGAGAAGTTGTTGTTGTTGTTGTTGGAGAAGTTGATGTAGCTGGAGAAGTTGATGTAGCTGGAGAAGTTGATGTAGCTGGAGAAGTTGATGTAGCTGGAGAAGTTGATGTAGCAGTAGCAGTAGCAGTAGCAGTAGCATTTGATGCAGCGCAGTGTATTCTTCAAATCGAAGATGACTGTAGTGAGAAAACCCTGGCTCTTTATAGTGGTTAGGAATGGCCTGATTGGTGGATCAAGCATGCTAATGCAGGACCAGCCGTGTTCAATCATAATCACGTGCTCCTCTCGAAATTAGTTTATGAATAAACTTCACTTATCAGTGGCGTGGTATGGACATTTGTCCTCACTCCATCTGTGATTAAAAGATAAACAGATAATTAGTAGTGAACAAGTACTAATGTAAAAAAAAAGAAAAAATTAGGAAAAAAGTAGGCTACCTACGAAGCAAAAAAAAAAACAATAAAAAAAACAAATAAACTTAAAACACTTTGAAATTAGCAAGAGCTTGAACTTACCAGTTTCTTCATTTGTTCAGGCTGCTCCTTTAGTTGATTTTCAAGCTTTTCCAAATCAAATTGGCCAAAGGAAGGTCAAATGTGTTTACATCTGGAATTTCATCACATCTGTTTTGGTTTTGTGAGAATCAGGCCCAGCTGCTGCTTTATGACGTTGCATGATTTTAAAACTTCAGTCAGTCGTGCTAAAAAAGAAAAATAACAGATTAGTATAAATCAACCTGTAGCTTATTCTCATACAACTTCTGTAAATACAACAGTGGGTTAGACACTGCTGATATTCTCTAGTTGATCTTTACTTTCTAGCTGCATTAAACCTTAACAAATTTAGTGATGTCTTCAATTCTTACAAAGACATCACGAGATGCAATAAGTTATGTCTTGATCTCAAACTGCACTAGAACAAAGACTGTAAATGTTCATAGGTGTACTCCAAACTTTTTGGGCCGAGGGCCAGATGCAAAAAAACAAACGTTGTCGCGGGCCAAATTTTACATACATCACACAGACACACACACACACATATACATACATACATATATATATATATATATATATATATATATACATACATACATATATATATATATATATATATATATATATATATATAAATGCAGTTGAAGTCAGAATTGTTAGCCCCCCTAAATTATTAGCCACCATTTATTTTTTCCCCAATTTCTGTTTAACGGAGAGTTAAACATTTTTTTTCCACACATTTCTAAACATATTAGTTTTAGTTTTAGTAACTGATTTATTTTATCTTTGTCATGATGACAGTAAATAATATTTGACTAGATATTTTTAAGACACTTCTATACAGCTTAAAGTGACATTTAAAGGCTTAACTAGGTTAATCAAGTTAACTAGTCAAGGTAATTAGGCAAGTTATTTTATAACAATGGTTTGTTCTGAAGACTTAAGGGGCTAATAATTTTGACCTTAAAATGGTTCATAAAAAAATTTAAACCGCTTTTTATTCTAGCCGAAATAAAACATAAGTCTTTCTCCAACATCATTTGGGAAATATTTAAAAAAGAAGAAATAAATCAATGAGGGGCTAATAATTCAGACTTCAACTGTGTGTAGACAGACAGACAGATAGACAGATAGATAGATAGATAGATAGATAGATAGATAGATAGATAGATAGATAGATAGATAGATAGATAGATAGATAGATAGATAGATAGATAGATAGATAGATAGATAGATAGATAGATAGATAGATAGATAGATAGATAGATAGATAGATAGATAGATAGATAGATAGATAGATAGATAGATAGATAGATAGATCATAACAAGAACTGCTGCTTAATTGAATGCATGTAATAACGACACCCGGTGGTTATTTATTGAATTACGTTCATTTTTGTATAGCGGGCCAGATTCTATTGATATTTATAAAAAGCCTCGCGGGCCGCAGATGGCCCGCGGGCCGTAGTTTGGACACGCCTGGTGTACTGGAATGTACAGTATCTGTGCATCTTCATGGTGGTCTTAAGATTTCTGCCATAGTCATTGATGGTGATGGTACTTGTGGTGCTGCATTGATTTCTGAAATCTTCATACCTGCCTTTTATCCAGCCTCTTTGTTCCAAGTAATTTTTCTTCATCATGGTATAGATGCGTCTAAACTGTCACTTGATCAGATACATTTACAAAACAAAACATCACTTTAGTATAGTGCCAGGGCAAAACTCACAGGTTGTAATAGATCAATGACAATGTTGACAGTATGTGTTTAAAATAATTGCAAACAAACCTGTTCTGTCTTGAGATGTATGACAGGCAATCATCGTCCTCATCTGTCTACCAGTCAGAAATCAGTTGCATGTGGATGTTTGAGTCGAGCTTCCTCATATGCATCTATAATAAAACATCACATTGTTGTTAACCTCCCGTAAAGAAAAGTTCAAATCCTGAAATACTATCAAAGTTAATTAATGCATATAATACCTATAGTGTAAATAATCAGTACACTGAAGGTTGCACAAGATTTATTCGGAGATTCATGCAGAGTGACAGCCTTATGAATCTGAGACATAGATTTGTAAGATGGTCAAGCACATGCATTATTCTGTACCCATGAAGATTAACCTACCATTGTGAAAAATGTTTGATGATGATAGCCAACAACAATAAACCATTTCAGCTGTTTGTGAAGCAATTAGTAATGTAATGTCTGAAAAGCTCAATTTATGTTGAAAATGTATCAGCAGTTTACAGCTTATAATGGACTTTTAGCACACAACTATAACATGCCTATTCACGTTCAAAAGAGTGTGCCATTGACTTCTTTGGTCGTGATGTACTGCAAAATGATCTCACTAACCTTTGTTAAACAAGAACAATAAGACTTAACCAACAAATATTGTTACCCATTCATTTAAATCAGAATTTATCACCGTCAATAACATAAAAAACAAACAAAAAAACATCAAAATCTGCTTTAAGACGTTCAGTTTTACATTAACTGACCATTACAGCTTGAACAAAAGATATAATTGATTCACATAGGCTAACACATATGAATTAAAGTGCATAGTAATATATTTCTCTTGGATAATTTAAACAGAATAGTAAACAGTCGAGTTTCGATCACTTTTCGTGACTAACTGCATAAATAAGATAAACAATAATATTTTATTAATCCAAAACGATTAGTTTTTATTTACACAATCACAGAATTAATACTGTTGGATAAGTTGTACGCCTGTACAATGATTTTTTCAACATCCACGGTACTTTATAATGTTAAATCAGGAAAAAAACACGTTGCCATGTTAGTTAATGGATTCGTCTACAGAAACTTTCTTTAACGCAAAGTTAGCATACACACAAATTCGTTTCATGTTTCTTTAAAATAATTAAAATAGTTTTCAGTTACTACACACGTTACAATCTAACATTGTGTTAAAGGAAAATGAACTTTCAGGCGTGTTTGTAACTGTTAGCGTTAGCATACATTAGCTCCAGTCGTGTTTCTTAAAGCAAGTTACATTTCGTATCAAACTGTTTTAAATTACTAAACGCTGTTACAACCAAACACCGTGGAAATGTTTTAAGCTCTAAATTCGCTAATTATACAGTACACAAGCAGTAAAAAGCTTACCTTTCTGACCGGAATTCACGTAAAGTCTTTAAAAAAAAAAACTTTTTCTTCTTGTGATCTTCGTGCCATGGTGGTTGACAACCAGCTTTTTGGAGCATTACCGCCACCGTCTGGATGGAGTTTGGATCAGGAGTTTAGAAACGCATGTGTTTATTATGAAACCAACTTCTGCTTTAAAACAAAAACAGTCAGCACAGGAGCGTGCTATCTCAAAAATAAGCGAATTTTACATAGTTTTTCTCTAGATGACATGTATAATCTATTAATAAATAATATTGTTTTGTTTGCGTCTAAACATTGCGAACATTCACACTAAATATTCTTTTTTTTTTTTTTTGCTTTCGTACCATGAATATTTTCTCAAATTATCATTAAACGTGGAGCTAACAGATAACTAGATAAATAAAGGACTTAATCGGTTGCCATCAGCCTTAATCGGTTGCCATATGGTTGACCGGAATCGGGCCAGTGCTTTACAGCCGCATCACAACCGCATGTGCGCGAGCGAGCTGCGGGCCGCACTCGGCCCGGATAACACTCGCCGATGCCGAGTCGGAGCCGGAGGCGCCGGAGGGCAGCCGAGCTCGGGCCGATTACTGCCTGCTATCTGGGACTTCCCTCACATCACTCACAAGGACAGCTTAAGTGACTATTTAGACACAAATTGTATTATTACACTTTCACAAAACAACGATCTAAGAACTGCTGCCATAATAAAACGTTTTTCTGCCATTCCTATCTTTTTTTTGTTTGTTTTTTTGCAAATGCAAATAAAAAAACGTAACAAAAAAAATCTATTTATCTTAGCAAATGTGTAATTTTAAGTAAAGTGAGTTTGTAGTTTAATCAAGTTTATTCACTCCACTGACAGTAGGCATGCTTGCATTGTGTCTTCAAGTAATGAGGCTTAAAGAATAATGCTGAGAACTTTCTTAAAACAACTTTATTTTTGCTCAAAAAGAGTTTCAAGCTGATGCATACAGGAAAAAAAACAAATGCCAGCCAAGGTAAGCAGATATTTTACAAGTGGTTTGCATGGGTTTAAATTGTTAGTCATTTTCCAATTTGACGAATGTTTAAACATTTTGTTCATTTACTTTCCGTAATTCACACAATAAAACATCAATATCTAACGAAAACTCAATATTAATATATCAGTAGCATAGCTACTTTTATGGGAAACTATATTAAAACAAAACAGTAAACAAAAAATGAGCAATGCATTCTAATAGTGTTATCAATATTGTCGAGAGGATAATACTTAGGGTTTTTTTTTTTTTTAACAAAAATGAATTCAGTTTATACAATATATTTCTTTTATACTTTTTTTAAATAACAATCGTAACAAAGGCACTTATGTTACTACTAATGTAAATGTAGTGTGTGCGTGCTTGTGCCTCCCTCTACATAAGCATTTTAATGTACATAGAATAGCACAATGTGTGTATTAAATCTGCACTGCTTCAGAAGAATTCAGCACCCTAAAAATTATAGGCGGAAAAAACGGTTTAAACCAAGAAAAAAAAAAGCAAACAGAGGCAGAATACCAAATAAAGCTTTACAGAATATCCCAAGAACATAAGCCTCTAACATACGGACACAGCGTAAATATGTCAACATTCAATTTTAAAAGAAAATAAGCTCTAAAATGTTGAAAATGCCCCAGTCATTATAAAAATTCACCTTTCATACGTTTCTGTTTCTTTATAAAAATGTGCAAGACAAATATTTGACTAACATATTACACCAATTGGTGGTGGCAGAACAACTCTATCAGAGAACATGGTTTGCAGTTAGATCAAGCTCTATTTTTGGTGGTTCTTTAAATAAGTGAGTTTTGGTTGGGGCTGATGACTATAATATGTTCTACTGAATGGTTTTGAAGGGCGTCTCTTCTGCTGGCTCCATAGATGTGTATACATAATACAAAAAGGCAGCGATGATGAGAAACACCAGGATGCGCAGCCACGCCGGCACACCTGCAGACTTTGTGCTCTCTGCACTCTGGACGGGTTTAGAGGTTGGCGGACGAGAAGAGCTCTGATAGGCTGAGTGAGACTGGCGGGTGACAGGCCTTCAAAATAAGACGAAAAAGACATTTAATTCATAATATTGACATTACATTTAGCTTTTTTTAAAAACATTTAGTTTTGAAAAAAGAAGCAGAATTACATGTATTACTGTGTGTGAGCACAAATGCGCAACATTTTAAAGAGAGCTCTACTTGTGAACACAGGTGCTTACAAATGCGCTCTAGAACGATACACCCGTCCCGTTTCTATGCTTTTTCTCTACGATTGTTAAAAGTGATCAGATGTCTTTGTACTTGTTTAAGCTGCATTTGCTGGCATCTTTTGATCCTCTCACTCGAGCAATCTTTGTATTTATTGATAAATTTACGCCCTAGTAATTTTGTACTTGTTTGGCAACCATCAATAGGGAGCAAAAATGTATTATTTTCTGAAACTTTCCTGTGTATACAGAATAACTATTTTTAAAATGCAATAACAGAGGCCAGATAGAACCTGTGGACCAGATAGTTGTGCTTATTGTGCTTATTCTCTTAATGAGTTATAGATGTGTTTTGAGAATAAACCAGTCAGAGTCTCATCTCCCATTCCATTTAAGAGTCAGTTGCATCCCAACATGGAACATTTTTCACAATTATTTACATAACGGACTTTGTAAGTGGAAAAACTGAAAGCTTCACTAGCAAGAAAACAAGTAAATGGATCATCTGCAGTGCAAGAATAAAGAACGAGCCTCCTCCAATTAGCCTCTTTATTTTCTCATTCTCTCTGTTGTGGATAAGGAAATGGTGTTGTATGCCCTCCACTGAAGACATTCATTAGCCAACATAATTAATTTAGTTTGTTAAGTGCCGAATTCAGTTCTAATTTCTGACCTGACAGGTGGACAATTCTATTCTTGTTTTTAATAAAACAAATATAAATATGCATATAACAAATACTAGTACTGCTAATAATAATAATAATAATAATAATATAAAAATGCAAGTTCTGAATAAACTGATCCATTGTATTTTGTGTGTGTGTGTGTGTGTGTGTGTGTGTGTGTGTGTGTGTGTGTGTGTGTGTGTGTGTGTGTGTGTGTGTGTGTGTGTGTGTGTGAGCGCGCGTCTGTCTGTCTGTCTGTCTGTGTTTTTAGTCCACTTAGAATCAAACATGCCTGTGTATTTACTTCAGTAATAAATACGGCATTTCATGATTAATCATGAATAATTACGTTTTGTGATTAATCATGATTAATTACAAAAAAGTGATTAATCACGTTAATTTTTTTAATCATTTGACAGCCCATTACCTGATATGATTTACACACAAATCATTATAAACTTTTTATAAACTGAATAAATATATTTATTTAGGTTTTTATATTCATATTTATTTGAGTTGAATATATACATCCATGCATATATACATTAGCATAAAATTAAAAAGGTTAAATAACAAGTTCAGCAATTTGTGGTAATCTGCTGAGTCTTCTGCAGGTGCATGTTTTGCATGGGCTGGCAATAATAGCTTAGCTGTTTAGATCACTGTAATCACTAGCTTATTGATTTTTTCTTTGTTTTTAAATGATTGCCAGAATAATTAAACAATTTTAATTCAGTAAACCCATGAATGGATTCGTAATGTGAGTGTGTGACTTCATTTCAGAGGATATGACCTATTATCTCGACTTCATCGTTTGTTGCTCCACTTATAAAAAAAAACCAAGTAAAGTCATTGTGCCCAATTGAATTGAATTGATATTTTTTTATTAAAAGACACACATGGCAAAAATGGGGCCGACAAAACCACAAGAGCTAACACATGCAGCAACTGTCTACACTAGAAGTCTTTCTACACTAGAACATTTTGCAGTTTAAGCAGTTTTACCTCATGTCTACTGTATGTTTATATTTATGATTGTTGTTACAATATCTGTTACTCAGGTGCCATTTACAATAGAGTGTTTTCTCTTTAAAGAGATTTGTTGCTGTTACGACTGGCAATTACACAACTTTGATATCTTTGACCAGCGAAAAGGGAATGTTTATGAAAATGATTTCAGTTTGGACATACTTCCACTTCCAGATGGGCTAAAAACTGACTTTTGAAAATGGAGGCGTGGCTATTTACAGTCCCTATCTGATTGGTCTTCTGGACAATTGCATATCTTTCCCTGAAATGTCAAGCTACTCTCATTTGACCATTACACAACAAGCAGAATTCAAATAGAATGCTGGTGAAATATACAGATGAGAGTGAATGCTCATGAATCTTGCATTTTAGGCTTTATGATGTGGACAGGTCGTTTTTCTGAAATGTATTAAAAACGCAAGTCATTTAAATTCTAAAACGCTGTTTTAAATTGAAAACACACAGGCTCAAAGTAAAAATAAATAAAACTATAGAGTTGGCTTTATTGTTAATGTGAATGTGTATTTTATTAATAATAACAATAATAATAATATAATTAATATATATGGGGCGTTAATATATAAGGTCACTGGTTCGAGCCCCGGCTGGGTCAGTTGGCGTTTACGAGTGAAGTTTGCAAGTTCTCCACGTGTTTGTGTTTCCTCCAGGTGCTCCTGTTTCCCCCACAATACAAAGACATGTGCTATCCGCTTGTTAATGGTGACGTCACGCAAAGCGGCTTCCGGGTCCAAGCGCTCTATTCAACTGAATGGGGAGACTCATGAAATGGTAATAATAAACATTTACAAAGCAATTTAATGCTTTCGAAAATCACGATCGCAGTATATATGTCCATGCCTAATATCCGTTAGCCAGAAGGTGATTAATTTTTTTATAAATTGTTCAATTTTTGGTATTTGTTATGCAGTAAGCCCAGAGATTGTTGTGTACACGATGATTTTATATAAAATTAACCTTAATGTGGGACAGGAATAAAAAGTGATCATAAACGAATGATTTCTCTACTCAAATGAATGGCGGCTTGGACCCGGAAACAGTATTACATACGTCACAAACATGTTACCACTTAACAAGTGGATAGGTGAATTGGAAAATGTGTGTGTTTGAATTTGAGTGTATGGGTGTTTCTCAGTACTGGGTTGCAGCTGGATGGGCAAATCGAATTGCTCGATAGAATGCAATATTCAGCCCCAAAATAAGCAGAGCAAAAGCACTTTAAAGATACATTGTGTGTATGGTTAAATAAGTTCAGAAAGACAATAAAAATAAAAACTTACTCGTTGGTATAGTCAACATCATCTCTGTAGGCTGACAACTTTGACCCCACACTGTAAAGAGACCAAATCATCCATTTAGAAGGTTTTAACCACTTAAAAAGAGAGATAACAAGTAAATAAATGAATCTCACTCGTGGGCAAAATCTGAATCGCTGGCCTTTGATCTCCTTGTGCTGTAATCATAGGAGAGGGACATTGTTTGTGCAGGACATACATAATAGCCCCTTTTACACATCAGAACACTCAGATGCATTCACGTCCGCGCTGTTTATGAAAGTAAAAGCCTTTGAAAAAACTTTCCAGACACATGTAGCTGTTATATGTTAGTCAGATAACGTTTTTATGTTCCTTCTTAATGCCAACTGTGTAATTACTGATAAGGTGTTTATGATAAACCGCTGTTTGTTTACCTTCAAGCTCTGCTTCAGTTGCTTGACACATGTGCACGCGAAGCAGCTGGTGAGCGTCAGCACACACACATATTATGAGCATGTCAATATGTGAAAGTGTTCCACATTTGTAATGTAGTCAAGTGTGTAAACATTTAGCTGTGGTTCGTGCTTCTGCCTTTAGATGTCTCACAAAGCAGCTGTATGAATGCTAAAGATAAAAGTGAAACCATCGAGAAAATGCCGGCCCCTTCTATGTTTACAAGTGCAGCCGTTTATAGGTCATTTTTGGTTAATGATGTCAGAAACTGCCATTTTGGAATGTGTGAATGGTCTTTTCCGGAAAAATAAGGCAATGTCCATGCCCGTGTGAACACCTTTTTGTTTTTATTTACCGGTAAAGTCGTTATGGAAATTTTCTGGATATTTACCGGTATCACTGTGTGAAAGGGGCTACTGACAGATATTAGTATTGCGAAAAAATTAAATAAAGTTACTCACACATCACCATATACTTCGTGTCTTGTTTGTTGCTGCTGAAAATGATAAACATGAGCTCAATAAAAAACATCACTGGCTCAAGAGTTACTTTTTATTACTAGTTCATTTAACTTACGGGCTGATGATAGGTAACATATTCCACTTCTTCCTCTGTAAAGCAAAAGTAAATGTTTAGAGTGTAAATCAGCACTGCAAATATCGCTCTATAGTTCTCTGTCTTTAGCAAAGTCTTACGTTCTTCTCTGTAGTATGTTTTGTCAGGTGAGGAAGGCTTGGTTTTTTTGGCCATGGCCTCATTCAGTTTTTTTTCATAGAGCTTTCTTGTGGATTCTGCAAAACATATCAGATCAATTTACAACTTTTTCCTGATTCACTGAGATGATTTTATTAATGGAACATGCTTTAATGAGGAAAAATGTCATGATAATAATTTCGGAAATATGTCTGGATTTATTAGATATGGTCATGATTAGGGTTGCACAATATTGAAAAAACATAGACATTGCGATATTTTGTTTTTTATTGATATACATTGCTTTATAAAATAGATTTCACCATGTTTCACGTATTTGGTAAACTTCATTTTAGGGGGGATTGGGGTGGGGTGGTATACAAACGGCTCAAGAAAAAAAAGTGTTTTATATTTGTCTGGTAAGCCTTAATGTCAGTTGGACACATATATCTAATGTAAAATGACACTTGGCAGTCTTCACTATAAAAATTGTAATTTAATTAGTCTTTGTTAAAGCAACTAATGCTATTGTTTCATGTGCCGGAATCCTTTAAACTCGCCTAATTTATTTAACGAAAAAATACAACTATTAAACTTTAATGGCAAAGTTTAACTATTGTGGATTTAATCTACAAGCTCCTGGTCAACAATAACACATAATTGAGATAGCAGATCAGTGATGCGATTATTGCGAATGCACGTTGTGATATGGATGCTGAAAGGATATATTGTGCAGCCCAGGTCATGATAGTTTTTTTTTTTTTTTCATTTGATAAAGGTGTGAAAACAAAATAAAATTGCTTCCCCAGAGAAAAACTGAATAAATACATTTGGATATCTGAATCAATACAAATGGAAATACATTTCATATTGTGATTGAAAATCAGGGTTATTCCACCAAAAATAGATCTCTTAACTCGTCTGAATACTGAAATTGTGTTAAAATGACTGTAAATGAATATAGTTATTTGTAAAAAGGTAACTTCGGCTTTATAACTGCTTTATTATTTACTCATTTGCCAAAAAATAACAACAAAGCAGATACATTTCAGACATTCAACCTGAGTGTGTCTGTGTATATTAAAAACTATTTTACATTTTTATATCAGAGCACATACAGTACCTACTATGGGTCCATGTTTGATGCCATATTCATCCAGCAGCTGGCAGATCTCTTTATCCGATTTCACACTTAATGACGACATATCTGCAACAACAAACATGTTTAGTGTTAAGATTTAGGGCTGCAACAATGCATATTTTTAAAAAATCAGTTGAGAACAGTGATGAATTATGTAATATCCTGGTAGTTAACTAGCAGGTTAGGCCTGATGGTTGACATAGAGAAGTAACTCAAGATCTAAAATGAATAGTAATCTCAGAGAGATACAGTACGAACTAGTAGGTTTTTTTTATTTATTTTTTAATAATGAGAATAATAAAAAATAGGTTCTTCAGCGTGAGACTAATGTAGCCTACAACATCTGGACCTGAGTGTTACACATGTGCAAACAGCTGTAAACTTTAAGAAGTAACAATAAACCCAAAAACCCTACAATTAAAGACTAAACAAAATGACATCTTCTGTCATATATAAGGCCATTAAAACCAAAATATCAGGATTTTTTCGCGAACAACGGGAAAAAAAAAGGTTTTGTCGAGCTCGAGCTAGCAACCGAAAGCTCTGACACAACTTCAACGCATGACATACATGGGCAAGCCGTAGCGCTGCCAAAGCAATAGCGTCGTGTATTCTCTCACCTCCATATGCACATTTTTTATGTTTAAAAATATTAATTTGCAAAAATTGATTTACCGTAAATGATTCCAGAACGTTAAAAAGGCGCTTTCCTGAGCTGGGCGTGTCGCTGGTCGCGCTGGAGGAGGAGAAACACATCACTTCCTGACGCCTGAGCTGAGGCGTGTTTAAAACAGTCAAGCATTTTTTTTCCCTCACAGGATTATGGTGATGTTTTACAGGTTATATACCCATTAGTAAGTGATTATAAGGCCTTATGAATATTAACCATTGTTTTACTATAAATATAAATTAATAAATTCACATGTTCAATTGTTTATTAGATTGACAGGGCATATTTATAGCATACCTAGATAATTAGTATGCATTTATATAATGACAATACATTATGTAAAATACATTAATAATAATATTAATATTTATAAAATAATAATATTCATATTTATAAAATAATTAATGTACTAATACATTTATACAAGAAATAATAACTAAATTTTAAGTGCTTTTAAGCAATTTCAACTAATCAGAATCAGCAAGTTAACTAAAAAGAATTTTCAGTCTATTCAGTTCACTGATTCAACACAATTTGAAATAAAATGCATTATAATTTATAACCTATAATCTCTCTTTTTATTATTATAAATATGTATGTATGTATATATATATATATATATATATGTGTGTGTGTGTGTGTGTGTGTGTGTGTGTGTGTGTGTGTGTGTGTGTGTGTGTGTGTGTGTGTGTGTGTGTGTGTGTGTGTGTGTGTGTGTGTGTGTGTGTGTGTGTATTACTTTTTTAATATAGGAAACGTCTTAGGCATTAGAAAATGCTTGATAAAATAACAAATAAGGCAACTGTATATTATTTTTTGTTTTGTGTTTTTTTTTGAGTATGCAAAATTACAGCTTATTAATTTTTCCAATTAAACAACAAAGCTTTATAAATCACTTAAATAGCCTAGAGTCAGTTGTTTCAATGTAACGTCCTGAATGTCAGTCTGTTCTGTCTTTAAATACAATGTATATGCACCACCCTTATTTTCAATCATTTGCGCTTCAACTTTCCAAGCATTTTAAAATAAATAATACCAACTTAGTGGACATATAATACACGTTTCACAGAATTTGAGACGCTCTTGACAGTTTTGATTGATGGCTGATGCATATGAAAAACAATGCCTTAATTGTGGGTGAACGGTACCTTTAAGCAACCAGATGCAGTACACATATGTACCGCAAAGGGGCGACATCGCGACTTCTCAAAAAAAAAAAATCTCAGGGAAAAACCCCGAATGTTGTGTATTTGTTTTCGCGTTGGCAACGACAGAGCAAGATAACATGATTCAGCAGGAGCCATCGTTTATCTGACTGCTATCTACTTTATACAAACTAAACCGCCCGAACAAGTACCTTTGTAAACTGTGTGTGACAGATTGTCAAAACTTTGACAAAACTATTTAAATGGAATATCTCAAAGCGGAAAAAAAGGTCAATAAAAATAAAATACCCGGGGCCCATTTAATAAGGACCTCACCTGGAGGCCTTAATCAATAAACAGATAAGGGCCCTGAAAACCAGAGTTCCGCTTTCCTAATATGGACTGAACAGCTGCCTATGTCTCTTGACTGTTCTTCTGACTCATCTGCATGCCAGTGATGGGCGTCAACCTGATGCATTTACTCAGAAACTTTTCTTTAGGTTGTTTTGATGCATCATAAGTAACTAAGCAATAGCTATCAGTAGGGCCAGACAGTATCTGCAGACAATTTTTGCTATTTCTGCAGAAGATTTTGCCAAAAAAAAAAAAATATATATATATATATATAATATATAAAAAAAAATATATATATATATAAAATATATATATAAAATAAAGGATAATAATTTTTTATACACTTTTATTTAATTTTTACAATGCAAATCTATTTAGATCCACTTATTTGGAAAACAAAGCAAGTCTCATATAGCATATCTACTAAAAGACTGAAAATATAACTTTACAACTGTATTGTAATCAAATCACATGAACATTTTAATATTACTATTATTATATCACAATAATATTTGTTAAATTTATTAAAAAAGTGAATAAATGTAACTGATAAAACAATATATTTGGAGGGAAAACGGTTTGTGTTTTTATCAAGGATCTTTATGTCCTTCCTGCAGTAAATTAAGGGAAATTTGATCTCCCTCATGCACATTTTTCCCGTTATTTGCAAATCAGGCATTTTGTAAAGTCTAATTTCGAACTCTGTACAGAAAAAAAAAACATGTGTTTTATGATATCTTTATAAACCCCTCTGATTCTAGACATCTCATTTCTAAATTTGTGTGTTTGTTTGAAAGTTGTGCTACAGCATCCTTTATGAGATTTATAGTTGCCTGGGGAAAAGATTTGGGAATTGAATTCTCGGCAGACACATGGGACTATAGTTTGACTTCAATACTGTCATGCTCAGTCAACAGCAGACACCAACTGATTTAATTCAAGGTCATACATGGTCTACACCACGCTAAAGCCAAGCTCCATAAAATCTTTCCTTCTGTCTCACCAATGTGCAATAGATGCAAGACAGCAGAGGACACAGCTGCTCATGCCTTTTGGCTCTGTCCCTTATTGAACAGATTCTGGACAAACATATTTTTGAATAAAACTAACCCTAACTGTAACCCTAATACACTAGTGCTTAACAATTGGAAGACACCTTTACCCCAGAACTGGATTTCTGGTACGATATCTGTTCAGATGGAGAGACTCAGATTTTTTAAGACTAGCTCCATAAAAATAGTTTTGGCTACTTGGGGTCAATTTCTTGATTTGTTTGGCAAATCTATATCTCAATTGAGCAATCAAGTGACCCCTCTGAAAAGTTATATACCTTCTCTAGTTTTAATTGCATGTTTTGTGATTATGTCTGTGTGTTTTTATTTATTTATTTATTTTTTTTCTATGTCTACAGTACGAGCTAATGTTTGTTCTTGTTTTCCCCCTGTCTGTGTGTGGGTGTGTGGATTCATGGAATAGTAGCTGACTGACACTTTCTTGGAGGTTATGGGTTTATTAGTCCCACCCCCACATTAATTGAACAGGCCACCTGAGAAGAGATTAGTGTTAATGGAGGGAGAAGTTCTTATTGTTTACTCTATGGAACTGGGAGTACATTAAATGTAAATACAGACTTATGCTGCGGTCACACAAGAGTTTGTGCATGCAAAATTCCGTTGTACAGTGCTGTGAATAGGGGCAAGATCAAAAAAAGATGACATTAGACATTAAAAAAAGCGAATGGTTGATCCATCTTTTAAATTCCTGTCCAAAAGGGTCATGTTTCGATCCTCGATTGGTCTCACACAATCATGTGATGCAATTTCACAGGTCAGTTCAACAAGCTTGAACTTTCTAACACAGCGAACTGCAAAATTTGTCGCATAAGCTTGCATTTTCGGTCTAACGCTTTGCGTGTGGATGTATGGAAGTCTACAGGGAGAAAAGTGCAGCGTGACCACAGCTAGTTGTTTGCTAATTGACACTTTCTTGAAGGGGATGGGTTAATTAGTCCCACCCCCACATTAATTGAACAGGCCACCTGAGAAGAGATATTGGTTTTAATAGAGGCAGAAGTTCTTATTGTTTACTCTATAGAACTGGCAGTACATGTAAACATATAGACTAATTATTTAAAATAAATATAGTAATGTTCCATAAAATAGCTAATTTTCAGGCCATTTCACAAAAATAAAGAAACAGAAATTAGCTACCTGACCTAAAGCATCATAAAACACTTTACCTGCTATTTGCAACATCTCCAAAAATGTGCTTTCAAATACACACAAATGTATTGAATAAAAAAAAAAACATTCCTAAAATTCAACTATTCTCCCATCAACAACAGCACAGGGGAACCTTTTACTCTTAATAATGCAAGTTTAATTCCTCCAAACTCCATATGTAAGAATAATGGTGCAGATCATTGACAACCTTCTTGTTTACTCAAAAAAAAAAAAAAAAAAAAAAGTAAAATCAATGACCAAATTGGCATTTTTGTGTGGAGTTTGCATGTTCTTCCCTTGTTCGCATGGGTTTCCTCGGGTGCTCCAGTTTCCCCCACAAGTCCAAAGACATGCAGTTCAGGTGAATTGGGTAGGCTAAATTGTCCATAGTGTATGTGTGTGAATGAGAATGTATGGATATTTCCTAGTGATGGGTTGCAGCTGGAAGGGCATCCACTGCATAAAACATGTGCTGGATAAGTTAGCAGTTCATTTTGCTGTGGCGACCCCACATTAATAAAGGGACTAAGCTGAAAAGAAAATGAATGAATGAATAATAATTATTCACAATGCCCATTTCTAAAGCGCCAAAACGGAGAAATCAAACATGCAATAAAATACAAGTATACATAGAAAATTCTAAAATATAAACTATGATCAAGAATCTAAAAAAAACAGTCTTAAATCTTCTTAAAACTAGCTAGTGTGGAGGCACTTCTTACAGAATAAGGGAGAGCATTCATTAACCTGGGTGCATCAGAGAAGGCTCTCTCCTCCATTGATTTTAATCTATAGGGTGACTGTTGAAGTGCGAGTATTAGCAGATGGCAGTGAACGAGAAATAGATCATATGGAAAAAGAAATCTCAAAGTCTCCACCTGGTTTTATATTGGTTCAAGATCTCTATTTTCTTCACGTGATAGATGAGAAACAAAAAAAAAAAAAAAAGGAAACTAAAACCACACACCCAAGAAAGACATTTACACATCTTGATTGACAGAAAAATAGTCAAGACAACTTTATTGTGTATCAAAATACTGTTAAGACAAACCATTATTTATTTATTTTGAGACAACTAATTGTTTTGTTTTAATTCAGAAACACTGATTATGCATTGACAATGGAGCACAACAAGCTAAAGAGCTGACAAAGTGAGAGCAAAGTGACGTTTCTCCACACAAACATTAGGGCTTCCAAGTGCGTTAAACCAGCGTAACTCAAACGATAAGCGTCAATATTCTCCCTTTCATTACACCTTCAGCCAAACGACACTGTCATCAACACTTTTATTCCACTATGTAATTTCCCTTTGGTGTTGCTGAAATCGCCATCTAACGGTCTTTTTACGGATGCAACACGGCAGCTCTGCAGACTGAAAGATACTCAAAACACA